ATCGGTCCTCTCAGCAAAACAAACGGAGCCATTAGCTATGGTTTTGAAATTCAGCAACGAAATTTATGGCTTATCTCCGCGTACATGCCACACGATGATATGATGGAGCCACCTCTCTTACTGCTGAGGAGGACCATAGCCGAAGCGTCTAAGACTAGCGTCGTCATCGGTTCCGACGCTAACTCGCGACATCAAATCTGGGGTAGCTCTTATACCAATAATAGGTGAGTCGCTTTTTGATTTTATTATTAGCGAAAATCTTCGCATCTGTAACAGAGGAAACACTCCTACTTTCGTGACCGCAGGTAAGGAGGAGGTTCTCGACCTCACCTTAACCTCACAAGGGATTGCCCCGCTGTTCTTAAACTGGAGAGTCCTCGACGATCATTCCTTTTCAGATCACAGGTACATCGAGTTTTGTCTAGTCGGAGAAGGTCCGCCTAGGAAATCTTTCAGAAACCCTAGGAACACGGATTGGGAAGGTTACCGCAGGAGGCTCCGGCGTGCAATTCTGCGCTGGAGAGGTCCTGTCCACTGAAATTACAGAAGGCCAAAGGGAACCCCTATGGTGGACTAGGGAGCTCTCAGATATCAGGGCGTCATGTAGACGTTTATTCAACAGGGCCCGCAGAAGTGGGTTATCTAATGACTGGGCTTTGTATAAAGCAGGATTTTCAATATACAATATTAGATTACATCCCGGGGGCCTGGAGACGAGTCAAGCTTACGTTCATCCCGAACGCTGGCAGGGGCTCCCATGTCACGGCCAAGGATTGCAGGCCAATCAGCCTCTCCTCCTTCCTGCTAAAGACTCTGGAGAGAATAATGGAGTGGTATATAAGGAGGCGCATTCCGAGAGGACCACAACATACTTATCGTAAAGGCAGGTCAGTGGATAGATACTACATGTCATGTCATGGTTCGAGGAAGCCATTGAAGCCAAGGACTTCGCTATTGGGACCTTCCTTGATATCGAGGGAGCTTTCAACAATGTTCTGCCTGAAGCAGCAGTAACTTCACGGTATTGGGGTTGAATCGAACCTCAAGCACCTCATTATCAGTCTTCTGTGCGAGTGATCGAAACAGAATGGGGCAGCTCGGGTGCGAGGCGAAGTGTGAGTAGGTGAACACCACAAGGTGGGGTTCTCTCTCCTCTTCTATTGATCCAAGTCGTTGACGAATTGCTCAAAAAACAAGAGGATCGCGGCTGTCGGGTGATTGCCTATGCAGACGATGTAGCACTTATGGTCAAAGGAAAGTTCCTTGGCACCGTGTGCGAGTTGATGCAGGGATATCTCAGCGTTGTAACAAAATGGGCGGTCAGAAGTGGACTCGCAATTAATCCAAACGAAACAGAAATGCTTTTATTCAGCAGAAAATATAAAATCCCGGTGGCACCGTTGCCGCAGATGGGAGGTATTCGCCTGCAACCGTCGGATGCAGTTAAATATTTAGGGCTGATCCTGGATAAGAGGTTTCATGGAAGCCGAATATCGAAGAGAGATCAAAGAAGGCATCTATTGCCTTATACTGATGTAGAGGAGCTATTGGCAAAAGATGGGGCCACTCTGGCGGCTCCTTTTCTGCTCATATACCCACCCGGAGATATGGGTGGGAGGAAGCCGTTGGAGGAGAGGGACAGCAAGCATCTTCACGGATGGGTCAAAGCTTGGGGGAAGGTTGGTGGAGGGGTCTACTGTCGGGAGCTCTCTATCAACTCCTGCTTCCTGTATTCCAGGCTGAGGTCGCAACCATCAAGGTAGCAGCAGATTTGCTGCTACGGAGTGCATCCATTTTCAGGGAGGTCAGCGTAGAGAGCGGCAATACTAGTCTTGAACTCATTCACAGTGCGTTCAGGGTTGGTCGAAGAATGTCTAACGTCGCTATCTTTAGTAGCTAGAGTTTTTGTGATTAGACTGGTATGGGTGCCGGGCCACAGCGGAATTGCAGGTAATTGCAAACATGATGAGTCAGCAAAGAAAGACACCCTAGAATCATTATCGGTAGAATACTTTTGGACATCTCACCGAACTGGCGGGTGTTGAAGTTAAGCGTCTGTGTAAATATGTATTGGCTACAAAGCGCTTCGCCAATCTGTAAGTTCGAACAGGGGAGTTCTTTTTCAATGGCATCACAAAGGACTACATTATTAGTCTACGTGTGATCTTTGATCAGCCATATAACCTAACCTAACCTAGCTTACTGGTTACTGATAGGTCATCAGTAATTAATGTATTCGTTATCCGAACTTGGGAAAAAAGTAACTATTTCTCCTCTTGCACTACACGGCGGTGTGATTATCTTACTCGCTCCCTCTCACTGCGCTTGCTCAATTGATTTTCTTGCTCTAATTTAAACTTATTTGAAAAATATATATTATATTTTAAACTTAAGTGAAAAATATGTTCCGAAGTGTGTTGCTACTCAAAAAATGAGTTCTAATTTATGGTTTTCGAAAGAATTATGGATACTAAAGAATAGAAAGTCTCGTGATTTTAAACTTTTTAAAAAACTGGTTTAGATGCTGACTATTCAAAATATTCTAAATTGTGCCCACAATTTGCTTAACTTAACAAAATATGTTATAATAATTATATAAATAAAGTAAAAAATCATATTATACGTAATCCAAAATTGTTCTATGGTTTCCTCAACTCCAAACGTAGGATTTCTAATTTTCCGTCTGCTATGAAATGTAAGTCTAGTAAGTCTAGTAAGTCTAGTGAAAATCACACCATTTATAATATGTTCGCTGAGTTCTTCAAGTCCAATTACTCTCCAAAATCTCCAAAAAATATTCCGCATCAGCACAAGTTATGTCCGATTTCTGTCATTAATGCACCTACCATTTTCGAAGCAGACGTCATATATCAGTTAAATATGTTAGAACAATCATACAATTATGGCCCAGATATGATTCCCTCATGCTTTCTTAAGAAATGTGYCAAATATATATACCAACCCCTAACAAAACTATTTAATTCATCTCTTATGCAAGGCTTATTTCCATCCATATGGAAAAAGTAATTTATAATTCTTTTACATAAGAGTAGATTTAGGTCATCTATTGAAAACTATAGGGGAATAGCAAAGTTGCTGCAATACCTAAACTTTTTGAAGCAATTATAACAGACGACATAACCTCCGGATCTCTCCACTAATTTCTTGTTCTCAGCACGGTTTTCGTAAAGGGAAATCTACAATAACTAATTTCTTTGAATTTGTATCACATGTATCAACGGTCTTTAGGGAGAATAAGAACACTGATGTTATATACCTAGATTTTAGTAAAGCTTTCGATAAAGTATCTCATTAAATTCTTTTGAATAAACTTGATCTTCTTGGTTTTCAACCAATATTTCTAAAATGGGTTGCTTCTTATCTTAGTAATAGAATTCAACAAGTTATATTTAACGATACTTTTTCTGACATAATCAACGTTCCTTCAGGCCTTCCTCAAGGTAGCCATCTTGACCCAATTCTGTTCTTGTTATTTATTAATTACATATCATCTGTTGTTAAGTTTTCAAAAGTTTTATTATATGCTGACGATGTAAAACTTTTTAAGACGTATACTTCATACAGCGAAAGAAGTCAGTTGCAAACGTAGATCTGTAGACCCTACTTTATATGCAATACAAATCTTTAGGTTGGAGCAAGTATGCAAGTATATGGACCCCAAACTCAATTGTAATCTTCACGATTCTTCGACGGTTTTTAAAGCTAAAGGCGCTTTTAGTTTTGGTGAACGTTGGTCTAAAGAATTTAGAGATCCGCAAAAATTCTTTTTACATCTCTGGTGAGGCCTATATTAGAGTATGCATTTGTGGTTTGGAACCCTAGTTACCAAGTCTATTCGGACAAGTTAGAGTCCGATCAAAAACAATTTTTACTTTTTGCCTTAAATCATTTGCATTGGGATCCCAGTTTAAATCTTCCCCCTTACACTAATCGTTTATATAATACTTATAAATCTCCCGACACTCGCTAGTCGTAGGGAGATGCTTGGTATAGTATTTCTTGTAAACCTCATGAATGGGCCAGTCTGTAGCCCATCTATTTTATCTGATATTAATTTCAACGTTCCCGCGCGCTCTACAAGGCAGTTTAGACCCCTTACTTTTAAAATTTTCTAGAACAAATTTTGAGCTAAACGAACTATTCGCCGCATATGTCATGTTTTCAATTCTCATTCCAGCACATTTGAACTATCAGACTCACTCTTTACCATTAAAAAATTATTTTATCTACCCTTAACAAGTAAAATTTAAAAATTATAAACTTTAATTTTAATTCTCAATTTTGGTTGTTGAAATTTTTGTTTCTGTAGCTGAGCAGCTTAAGATCGCAACGCTTAAAACTCTCTTGCCTTTTATGACTCGGCTCTTTCCGCTCGCTCGCGGATTGGCGCAATCGCGTCGGTTGGGCGGGAGGAGGGTAATCGTTGGGTATTATTATTATTATTTATTTGCGAAATATTTTGGAAAACTATCTCTTACCCTTCGGTTAATAGTGTCCTTTTCATTGGCTATTTGGTTGGTTAGCTATCTTTTACTGAAAATAGTTTATTTGATTAGTTTTATTGGCGGCCATTAGCGCCTAAATATGATGCGCTGGATGACGGAAGCTTTATAAATCAGGTGGTCGCACATGAGCACGTTAGTTAGAGCCATCAACTACCGATATATGTTGAACAGGTGAGTTGCTATCACCAAAAAACAAAAAAAAAATTCAATTTGCATTTTAACTTCGACTTTCTGATTCTGGCTAATGAGGTTACAATGGATTTCATGTTAAGAAACGTAAAAATTGTGCCTAGAAATGTTAAAATTCCAGTTGGTAACATTTCCTAAGCAAACAAAAGATTTCAGGTTAATATGTAGAAACAAGTTTTAATAACAATTCTAATAAATGAAGTATATTTATTTACATGTTCAACATACAAATATAGAATTTTGTTCAGTTATGATTAAATAATTTATAATTGTATATTATGATACTGTCGATATATGGTCAAAATTATAATCAATATTGAGAACAGTTACATATATAATTTACTAAATTTTGTTCACGATCCTTTTACTTTTTGTTTGATGAATCCAGTAAACTGACTTTTATGACTAAATTCAACGAATTCTTGTGTTAAATTCATCTAGTCAGTTTTGCAAGAACCTTAGGGGTATTCCATATAGAATTAGATACATTATCTGAACCCGAAATTTTGTGAGGGAGACCTGTTAAGCCAATCTTTTGTTTGGACTGGGCACGGATTTGAAAGTATACAAAAAGCTTACATATATACTATATAATTTAATATATCTTCTATAATGTTCTTAACTTAATCAATCTTAAGCTGCAACTAGTGAATCAATTCTTTAGAAGCAACATTAAATTACGTACTTACTTAGACGTGGCACGAGAATGTTACGTTATTTGACGACAGACCAGCAACCTGAAAAGTGTTGACTGTCATCTCAAAGCAAATAAAAACACAGTAACTAAATAAATAAATAGTTAATTTAGGAATTACGCAGCCATGCTTACCTGTGTAGCAGGTTGACCCAAACTTCGCAACTTTTTGGCCTGGGTGATGCTTGCTGTAAACGCGTATCACCAATCGAAAGGTAATCATTGCTTACCACGATGACCCAGCCCTAAAAGAGATTGAGTACGCCGTTAATTACGCCCAGCGGTGACAGATCCGTGGATATGCCATTATTGATGTGTAAAGTATTTCGCATATTCCAAATCATGCGGTGCGAATTTCAAGGAAATGCAACCTAGACGCGGCAAGAATATGTAAGTAATTGGTCTTTCCAACAATAAAGAAGACAATAAGGCAACTTACCTTTGAGTCACTAGTGCGAAAAATATCACGCACCGTGATACAATTCATCCCACACAGTTTCTATCTCGGGCAGCGCATTGAGAGTTTTCCTCCGCCCTCTGCAATAATATTTGATCGATTATTTAGAAACATCATAATAAAATTCAAGAAATTTTCTTCTTTACAAACCTCTTTTGAATCTAGAAGTTTCCATTTGAAAACAAAAAGTTAGTTTTGAAGGGTAGCTCTGCTTAATGAAATATATCTAAAGATATGATTAAGTTAAACATAAGTAATATAAAAACTGATCAATGAATAAAGTAAGCATGTCTATAAATGTGTCTCTTTATCTAAAATTAATCAATTTATTAGTATGATTGCAATTAATGATATGACTCTATTTTTATTGTACCGTCACTTTTAGTAAAGAACCAGTCACCAAAAAGGTTATCATATGATTGGACTCGACCTACGACCGGTTACCAATTTATTAATTTGGTTTAGTTCGTTGGAAATTGGAAATGAGAGAAAAATTGCTAAACGTTTAAGCCTCTTTAACACTTTCAACTGTCAAACTTGTAAGGGAGAGCTAACTGGCGTACATCCCTAAATAAATCGTGAACTTTATTTAAAATTTACTCTTAAATTCTTATATGTGTATATAATAAAATTCAAAACAAGATCTTTTTCAGAAAAATTTCAATTTCTTACTTCTTAATGCGCTGTCAAAATCGAATTTTTCTGAGTGTTAAATTGCCGCCGGCCTTATTTAGGTATTTTTGCTGAACCTTTTATTTAGGGACGGTAGTAAATTCAGTTCAGTCACTCTCGTAAATTGAAGGGCATATGAAATGTACGGTGTGTTCGAAATGACAATCACTACAGCAGTGTTGAAAACTTATAAAAGTATCACGTTCTGCGTAAATGTTTGGCTACACTTACATCAGGATCACATTAGGCGCAATTTACGTAAAAAAACGGCAACACTAAATTTTTGTCTGCACATCGGCAGATATTCAACATGCTGTAATGCTATAATTTTTACTTAGCTCGAATTTAATAACTAACATTAACATTGAGTTGAAATATCCATTTCGGTCTTATTTTATTTACCCTAACATATAGAAAACACATGGAATTGAGGATGATATGGACCGCTAACTTTAATATTTAGTATCGAATCAGATAACGCTTATCTCTTAATTTTATATTTTATGGTATAAAGCCTACTAGAATAAGGATATGGTTATGTTGGATATTTCCACGGTCCGGAAGGCTTGTCGTCGAAAATTGCGATAAAATCGCTGAATTGGTCGAAAGAGACCAGCATAGTAGCAGCCGTAGCATCGGCCAAGAGCTGGGCATGAGTCATCAACTAAAATTGTATGAACAATTCAAAATTCAATAAAAATACCGCACAAATACTGCAAGACTTTTTTGACAACCTAATATATATATTCATCTATATATAATTTATCGGGATGACGAGAATTTGATATCCGGGTGATTGTCTGTCTGCCAGTCCGTCCGTCAGTCATTGCAAGCTGTAATTTGCGAAAAAATTCAGATATCTTGATGAAATTTAGTATGCGGGTTCCTTAGTACAAACAAAAATTACGAGTTCGTAGATGGGCGTAATCGGACCACTACTACACAAAACACCATTAACCGGATGCCTAAGCACTAAATTAAGATATAAAACTGTATTTGGGCACAAGGGATCGTAGTAACACAGTAACAAGGGGCACCGGTAAACAATTTTGAAAAAGTGAGCGTGATCCCGCCGTCTAATAAGTATAACGTACATGTCTCTTTTTCTTTTGCTCGGTGCAAATATCATAAACCTATAAATAAATTAAATCGGAGGATAACCCCGCTAACTTCTCAAATAACGGTACTGTTCAAAACTACTAAAAGCGCAATAAATGAATAAATAATTACGCCAGATCATTAAACTTTCTTACCTCCGAGATGGTATGAGAGAGCTTTATGGAAGCCAGTGTGGAAATTGAACGAAGGGCATGGCATCACCCACTTTTTGGTGAAACCATATATATTGGGATCCGCTCGACCGATTAGAACTAAATTAATATGTATCATTCTTCTTATATTCCTATAGCCCAGTGTAAAAATGTACGACGTAGTACAGCCACGTCTACTTTCTGTATAACACAATTTCAGATTTCATTAGATTCTTTCACTTTCCAGTATACAAAGCACAGATAGACAGGCACTCGGCTTTTACTGGTCTCATCATTATGATCATTTGTAAATGACATAAATATATAACCCTATTTTTAACTTGAATGTTTCTAGGTGATACCAGCAAGCTTTAGGTAAACAATACGTTACAAGAGTATAAAATATGTATAATACATATTTAAATATTACAATTTATATATATTATATTTTTGTTGCTTAAATGTAAATGTTAATAATGAGAAATTTTCTTGCATATTTTGTTTATTTTAAACATTTTTTTTTTTTTT